AAACGAACGTCAATTCATAACGTGATTTTGAAGAATACTACTCGAAGAAAGGGCGTCAAACTAACAATCCCCACTTGTTCTTTTTTAGAGTGTGTTTCACATATCAAGAATACACATCCCCTCAAGATTTCCATCAAAAGCCTTATCTGATAAGATCTTAGTGAATGGATCCGCAAAATTATCTATCGATGCAACTATACTAACCGTCACGTCTCTTCGATGAACAATCTCTCTAACAAGGTGATATTTTCTCTCGATGTGCTTGGCACACTAATGACTCTTGGTTCTTTAGTATTGGTAACCACTCCTCTGTTATTGTAATAAAGCATTATGGGTCCCATTGCCAAAAGTATCACGTCAAGATCCAAAAGAAACTTCTTGAACCATACAGGTTCTTTAGCAGCTTCACAAGTAGCTACATATTATGTCTCCATGGTGAAATCAGCAATGTAAGATTACTTTATACTCATCCATACAATAGTTCCACTTCCCAAAGTAAATACTGAGCCCGACGTAGATTTTCTAGAGTCATGATTAGATTGAAAATCGAAATTAATGTATCCGATAGGATTCAAATCATGTCCTGAATAGATAAGCATATAATCTCTCGTTCTCCGAAGTTACTTGAATATATGTTTCACTGTTACCCAATGTTTTGGTCCTGGATTAGATTGATAACGACTAACAATACCTACAGCATAACAAATATCCAGTCTAGGGCAAAGCATAGCATACATGAGGCTTCCCACAGTCGAAGCATAAGGAACCTTCCTCATGTAATCTATCTCCGTTACAGACTTGGGAGAATGCTCCTTAGATAGATGAATTCCATGTCTAAAAGGAAGTTGTCCCGTTTTGAAATTCTCGTTACAAATCTAGACAATATTTTGTCAATATATGAAGCTTGGGATAATGCAATCCTTCTGTATTTCCTATCTCGTAAGATACGGATTCCTAAAACATAACTAATTTCTCATAAGTCCTTCATATCAAATTGTTACGACAACCATTTCTTTACAAATGACAATGTCCCTAAATCATTTCCAATGAGTAGAATGTCATCCACATAAAGAATTTGAAAAACTACTTTCTTCTATTGTATTCACTTGTAGACATGGTTAATCCAGATTTTGATCAAAACTATAAGTCTTAATGGTTTGATCAAATCTTACATTCTAAGACTCGGACACTTGAAAATTTTCCTTTCATGGCCTTCTTTTATGAACCTTTCAAGTTGCATCATGTAGATGGTCTCACCAAGATGTCTATTTAAAAATGCTATTTTGACGTCCATTTGCCAAATCTCATAATCATAATGAACGACAATGGATAAAAAGATTCGAATAGATTTAATCATGACAGGCAGTAAGAAGGTCTCTTCATAGTCAATACTTTCTCTTTGGGTAAAATCCTTGCCCACTAGCCTTGCTTTGAAGGTTTCAATTTTCCCATCTATACTTCTTTTCCTTTTATAAACCCACTTGCAGCCTATGGGTTTTACCACATTAGGCGCATCTACAAGATCCCTAACTTTGTTGTAATACATAGATTCCATTTTTGAGTTCATGGCAGATTTCCATGATTTAAAGTCTACATCCTCCATTACTTCCTTAAACGAAGTGGGATCTTCTTCTAGCTCAATAGAGATCTCATAATAGGACTCTCCATAGAGAAAGTATCTACAAGGTAATCTCTTAACCCTCCTACTACAAGTAATGGTTTAAGGTGCCTAATTGTCCAGTCTGACCAAAGGTCCTTTCTCTCTTCCCATAGTTTGGTCCTCTCCTTAGTTAGGACCAAAGTCCTCATCATCCCATTGAGAGGGCGCGTGGAGGTATAACAATGGGTGCCCGTTCTCTGCTACCTAAAGTTCTGTTTGTCCATGAGGCTCTGTAGGCTACACTTGTTCATTTACCTCATTAGCAACCATTTACCTCATTATATTTTTTTATAACTGTATGATGGCCCATCCTAATTGTGGTGTTTACAATTTTAACGTAGAAATGAAGCCCAAAAATAACAAAGCTCAAGGCCCATAAGAGAGGACTCAATTCAAGTGGGCTTGACCCAGCCCAATCAAAAGAAAATAGATTGGAATGATTAATGAAGGGAGCAAATCAGTGGAAGACGTCTCTCAAAACTGAAGAAATCCCGAATTGGAAGCTATCTGGACTGTCTATAGTATTTTCACCATATCTCCCTCATCTGACGTCGTATTTAGCTGATTCAAGAGGCCCTCGAAAGCTAATTTAATGTCCTATAATTTCTCTGAAATAGAGATTTTGAATTTCCCGCATTTTTTAAGTGAAAAATGGCCCACAATCCAAGGCTGAAAATATGCCGAATTGATGAGGCGAATTCTGGATTGATTTCTTCTTTCCTTGTGAAGATGGCTGAAAAGAGAGCAAGGATAAGGAGTTTATGGAGTAGGGAAAAGGGGTTTTGGACAGAGGAGCTTGGAAAGCAAGGAGGATCGATTCTTTCTCTTCTTTTTAGCTTTCAAGAGGAGGAAGCTACTCCAAACAAACTGCAGACCAGATTTATTGAGTTTTTTCTTCTTCCAATCTCTTTCAATTTTATGATGTTTATGTTAAACTCTTTTATTAAGTTTTTCTTCAATTTTAGCATGAACTAATTTCTATCTTCTAGAGTTTGTGATGCAGCCTAATTATGATTATGTGAATCCTTCTTTACTTGAATTAATTGGTATTTGTTCAATTGTTGAGTATCTCATTCTGGACTTAATGCTTGTGAATGACTTATCACCATTTACATGAGTTGGGATTCAATTTGAGACAGAGAAGTAATAATTGTTTCAGCCTGTGTTTGAGATACCACAGGGATTCTGTAGGATAGAGATATCTATGGACTTCTATAATCTTTATGGGTTTGTCTTTGTTCTTGATGAACACTGATAGGTTTAGAATTTTCACAGAGATGCAGAAACTTTTCCTGTTGAGATATTTCGTTAATACTTGAGAAAGATTAACGAATAAATTAGAGAGACTAGATTATCAACAATAAGGAACACCAACAATTAATTCAATTTAGATATTCGCATGATTAGTTATGGTGAATCAAAAACTCTAGAATCTTATTTTCTTGATTTTAACTTGCTTGTCCAATTCTTGTTAGTTTAACCCTTCTAGTTTAGATCATCATTTAATAAATTTTGATACTTATTTGTAATTTTTCATTCCTCGTGGGATGATCTTCTTACTCATCCACTTTATTACATGTTACGACTTGTTCGCTTGCGATTTCAACCAACAAGCTTTTGGTGCTGTTCCCGGGAAATTAGATAAAATTATTGATAATATCAACACTAGTTAAATTTGATCTAATTTGATTTATTTTGTCCTTTATTTCCAGGTTTTGCTTAGTGTATGAGATGAAAAAAGAGTTTGGAACTGCTACCTTATGATCCAGAAATTGAAAAAATAGCAAAATGATTGAGGAATAAGAATCGAGAGGCTCGAAAAAATTCAAACACTATGGCAGACAATGAGAATCCAAGACATGACACATGAGCTCTATGGGATTTTGCTCTACCACAGGTTACAGGAATCAATTCAATCACCAGGAAACCTAGTATTGCATCCAACAACTTTGAGATTAAGCCAGCTATCCTACAAATGATTCAAACATCAATTCAATTCCATCAATTTCCGAGTGATGACCCCAATGCCCATATAGCAAGTTTTCTAGAAGTTTGTGATACCTTCAAGCAAAATGGTGTTACTGATGATGCCATTTGCCTTCGGTTATTTCCTTTCTCTCTTGAAGACAGAGCAAAAAATTGGCTAAATTCATTGCCTGCAGATTCAATCACTAGTTGGGAAGATTTAGCTCAGAAGTTTCTCGCTAATTTTTTTTCCACCAACCAAGACAGCAAAGAAGCGTAATGAGATTTCAAATTTTTCTCAAACGGAGGGCGAACCACTTTACGAGGCTTGGGAACGATATAATGACCTACTTAGGTGATGCCCTAACCATGGATTACCGAAGTGGATGTAAGTTCAGAACTTCTATAACGGACTTGCTATCTTTACAAGAACTCTAATAGATGCCGCTTCAGGAGGAACATTTATGGGTAAATCCTTAGATGATGCGTATGATCTGTTGGTGGAGATGGCGATGAACAACAATCAATGGCCAAATGAGAGAATTTTATCGAAGAAAGCAGTAGGAATGCAAGAGATCGAAGCCATCACTACCTTGACAACTCAAGTCCATAATCTTACTCAACAATTGAAGGCCAACCAATTGACAGCAAATGCCATTCACTTAACACCACCAGTTTGTGATTTTGTCATGGAAACCATCTGAGTGAAGAATGTCAAGTGGGAAATCCCTTCTCTCAATCCCAAACGAAGCAAGCATACTTTGTTACAAATTACAATCGACAAAACAATCCATATATTGCAACATACAACCCTGGATGGAAAAATCATCCCAATTTTTCATGAAATGATCAGAATGTATTGAAACCTCCACCTGGTCCGTCATCAAATGATCTACCAAAAGAGAAGTCATCACTTGAAGAAGTAATGGCACAATTAGCAACTAACATCAACAGATTCATAATAGAGACTAAGACCAATTTTCAGAATCAAGCAGCTTCGATACGGAATTTAGAAGTCCAAGTTGGTCAATTGGCCAATATGCTAACTGGGAGACAACAAAGAAATTTGCCTAACACGACTGAAGTGAATCCAAAGGAACAGTGCAAGGCAATCACTTTAAGAAATGGAAAAGAGTTAGAAACTCCAATTACTAGTGAAAAGTTTGAAATAGAAGATCAAGAGATGCAACTCCACACACCAACGCTTAGCAAGGAGATTTCCAGCAATCAACCAATCCCACCACAGCATCTAGCACCAAGAGTTCCATTCCCTTAACGACTCAAAAAGAATAAGCTTGATAAGCAATTTTCTAAATTTTTAGATGTGTTTAAAAAATTGCATATTAACATTCCTTTTACAGAAGCTCTCGAACAAATGCCAAGCTATGTGAAATTTATGAAGGACATCTTGTCAAATAAGAGGAGATTGGAAGAATATGAGACAGTAGCCCTTACTAAAGAGTGTAGTGCAATTCTAAAAAAGAAAATGCCTCCAAATCTCAAGGACCCAGGGAGATTTACTCTCCCTTGTTCAATTCGAAATTCTATGTTTGAAAGAGCTTTATTTGACTTAGGTGCAAGTATTAATCTCATGTCTTTGTCTATTTTTAGGAAAGTTGGACTAGGTGACGTGAGACCTACTATAGTATCATTGCAATTAGCGGATCACTCAATAAAACACCCACGGGGAATCATTGAGGATGTGCTTGTCAAGGTGGACAAATTTATTCTTCCAACCGACTTTCTCATTCTAGACATGGAGGAGGATAGGAAAATTCCTATCATTCTTGGCAGACCATTCTTAGCTACTGGTCGAGTTCTAATTGATGTCCAAAGGAGAGAATTGCGATTGAGAGTATAAGAGGAGGAAGTAACCTTTAATGTTTTTAATGCCATCAAGTATCCGGATACAAGTGAGAGTTATTTCAGCATCCAAGCAATCAACCCCTTGGTCACTGAAGTATTTAACCAACAAAAGGAATTGTTGGAAGCTTGTTTGGTTAGCCCCAATCTGACTATGGTGGAAGATCCAAAAGTGTTAGAATATGCTTTGTGGATGATTCTTTTGGTCCTAGCTGCAGAAAATATTTTGAAGATTTAGGACACGGAACATCATGTCTCCTTTCATCTGTTGAGAAACCACCTACATTAGAGCTTAAGCCCTTACCTAAACATCTTCAATATGTGTATCTAGGTGAATCATTTACTCTTCAGGTAATTATTTCATCTAAGCTATCCATTGAAGAAGAGGAAAAGTTGTAGAGAGTGCTTAGAGAACATGAGGCAGCAATTGGATGGATACTTGCATAAATCAAGGGAATTAGCCCTTCTATTTGTATGCATCGGATTTTGCTGGAAGAAGATTGCAAGCCAATAGTGGAGCACCAAAGAAGACTCAATCTGACAATGAAGGAAGTGGTGCGTAAAAAGGTCTTAAAATGGTTAGATGTCGGAGTGACTTGCCCAATTTCTGGTAGCTATGGATTAATCCTAGGCAAGTAGTACCAAAAAAGGAAGGAATGACAGTGGTGAAAAATGCTAACAATGAGTTGATCCCTACAAGAATAGTTACCGGGTGGAGAATTTGCATGGATTATCGAAAATTGAACAAAGCCACTCAGAAAGACCACTTTCCTTTGCCATTCATTGATCAAATATTGGATAGGCTATCTGGGCATGAATACTATTGCTTCCTAGATGGCTTTTCGTGGTATAATCAAATAGCCATAGCACCGGACGACCAATAGAAGACCACATTCACATGCCCTTATGACACTTTCACCTTTTGTCGAATGTCATTTGGACTTCGCAATGTGCCAGCCACCTTTTAAAGGTATATGATGTCAATCTTTTCAGATATGGTAAAGCGGATTATTGAAATTTCATGGATGATTTTTCTGTTTTCGGATCTTCTTTTGATGATTGTCTTGGGAATTTGGCGTTAGTTTTGAAGAGATGTGAAGAACTAATCTTTTGCTTAATTAGGAAAAGTGACACGTCATGGTAAAAGAGGGAATTGTCTTGGGTCATCGAATCTCTTCAAAGGGTATTGAAGTGGATAAAGCAAAAATTGAGACAATCGAAAAGCTTCCACCACCAACAATAATAAAAGGAGTTAGGAGCTTTCTTGGATATGCCGAGTTTTATAGAAGATTTATTAAGGACTTTTCCAAGATCTCCAAACCCCTTTGTAGCTTGCTTGTGAAAGAAACACTATTTGTGTTTGATGAAGAATGTAATAAGGCGTTCTTCTTACTAAAAGAGAAGCTTGTGTCGGCTCCGATTGTTATAGCTTCGAATTGGGATCTACCGTTTGAATTGATGTGCGATGCAAGTGACTATGCCGTTGGTATGGTATTGGGGTAGTGAAAGAACAAACAATTTCATACCATTTATTGTGTTAGCAGAACCCTTAATGATGCCCAACTCAACTATGCCACAATTGAGAAAGAACTCTTGCTATAGTCTTCACTTTTAACAAGTTTCGATCATATCTTATTGGGAATAAAGTGATAGCCTACACTAATCATTCCATAGTTAAATAACTTATTATAAAGAAGGAAGCCAAGCCAAGACTCATCCGTTGGGTTCTCTTGCTACAAGAATTTGATATTGAGATTAAAGAGAAGAATGGAATCGAAAATATGGTGGCAGATCACCTCTCACGGCTTGAGTTACAGGAGCAACTTGAGGCTCAAAAACAGTCCATAATTCTTGGATGAACAACTTTTTGGCTATTTCTTCTGACAATCCTTTACCGTGTTATGCAAATTATGTCAATTTTCTTGCAGGAAAAATCATTTCCCCCCAACTTTTCATATCAAGAAAAGAAGAATTTTTTGTCAGAAGTAAAGCATTACTATTGGTAAGAACCGATACTCTACAAGCATTGTGTGGACCAGATAATCAGGCTATGTGTTCCAGAAGAGGAGATGACAGATATTTTGATGCATTGCCATACACTAGAATGTGGAGGGCATTTTGGACCTCATCGGGTAGTAGCTAAAGTTTTCCAATTCGGATTCTATTGGCCAACATTGTTCAAGGATTGTCATACTTTTATTGCCGCTTGTGATAAATGCCAACGCTCCGGGAACATATCTAAAAGAAATGAAATGCGTTTGTAGAATATTATAGAGATGGAGTTGTTTGACGTTTGGGGTATTGACTTCATGGGACCCTTTCCTTCATCCTACAACAACAAATAAATTCTTTTAGCAGTATATTATATATCTAAGTGGGTAGAGGCAATCGTAACTCCTACTAATGATGGAAAAGTGGTGCAGAATTTTCTCCGAAAGGATATTTTTTCCAAATTCAGGATTCCTGAGGCCATTATTAGCGATGAAGGGACTCACTTTTGTAACAAGCAGTTTGAAGCTCTATTATTAAAATATAGAGTTAGACATCGAAGAGCATTGGCTTATCATCCTTCGACAAATGGAAAGCGGAGATATCAAATAGGGAGTTGAAGCAAATTCTAGAGAAAACAGTTAACAATTCTCAAAAAGATTGGGACAAAAAGCTAGATGATGCACCGTGGGTTTATCAGACAGCATACAAAACACCTTTGGGAATGTTTCCTTATCGGTTAGTCTATGGAAAATCATGCCACCTTCCTATAGAGCTCGAGCACAAAGCTTATCGGGTGATGAAGCAACTAAACATGGATCTTCAAGCAACTAGTGAAAAGCGTTGTTTGCAAATTAACGAGATGGATGAGTGTCGTGATGAAGCTTATGAGAATGCAAGGATTTACAAGGAACGGACCAAGACTTCGCATGATAAGTACATCTCAAAGAAAGAGTTTCTACCTGGACAACAAATTTTGCTTTACAATTTAAGGCTTCGCCTCTTTCTCGAAAAGCTCAAATGTCGATGGTCAGGTCCATTCACAGTTGTTAAAGTTTTTCCCCATGGAACAGTGAAAATCACTCATGATGAGAAGGGGGCGTTTAAAGTGAATGGACAACGTTTGAAGCCTTATTTAAATGGTGAATTTGACGGTAAAAAGATCACCATTCTTCTTGATCTGGTCTATAAGAAGAGCAACGGTCAAGCTGTTGACTATAACTAAATGCTTCTTGGGAAACAACCAAAGCATTCTAAATCTTTTTTTTTATTTTCCATATTCTTCTTTTCCTCAATTACTTTGTGTGAATTTTGATTTCATATTTTTTTATTTTTTGTTTTTTATTTTTTTTGGTGTGGTAGTGACGTAATTCTCCACCTTCTTGCTCCAGTAGTTGAATGCATTGAAGAGGATGCCAAGAGAGATGAAGCTTGATCCATCTCCACCAATGAACAGCGAAGTTTCTTCTTATCATGGTTTTTTTTGTTTTTTTTTCCCTTTCTTTGTTGCACATTGAAGAAAATGTTAAGTTTTAGATGGGGAGTGCTAAGGATGAATGTATGTATTCTTGTTTGCATGAATTCAGCTTTGCTATTTTGGTTTGATTACAAAGTATTTTTACTTGAGTAAATTGTGCTGTTTACGTAAGGTATTGAAACACCTCAAAAAATTTTCTTTTCATGCACGTAAGCTAAGCTCATGTGGTTTGATGGATATAGAACTCGTACAATTAGAGAATACTCACATTTAAGTTGCAACCTTTTACACATGTAAGCAATTGGGCCATTCTCATTTTTTTGAGAGAGAAGCTATCATATTCTTAATATTACCTTCAGCATTGTGGCGTTACATGATCTCATTATCCTCCAAATTCGGTTGACTACTGGGAATACTGTTACACGATTTTTGGTATGTTGGTTTGATTATACTCAAGAAATGATGCAGGTCAATTTAGGATGTAGTTTGAGCCTTTCAAGCAACCCATGTTTCATCCAATAGAAGCCACTTTGAGCTAAAATCTCAGCCAGGTCTTTGTTAAGCCATTTATTTCCTCACCCACTCCACATTAGAGGTTGAGCCTAAGTTGATTATCTCATTCACCTTCAAATCTCAAGTATGTAGTATGGGGAATATGTTGTTGAAAAAAATAAACATCAGAAATGAATGAAGAATGGGTATGAAAAATACTTTGAAGTGAGGTTTGTTGCTGTAAAATCCCTAATAAAAAAAAGCTTTTTTTTTTATTACAATTGGACACAATTGCGTTTCGCATAATTTGACCAAATGTTGCACATTTGGGGCCCACTTGATGGAAAAATGGGCACCAGACAGGCCCTAAGTCTACAAGTTGATGACGAACCTCAATATATACTTGAGAGCTAATATTCTTCTTCAATCCTCTTATCCTTCCTTTCAATTTGACCCCAGTACTATTACAACCTTCTTATTGACCTTTTGATCCTAAGTGGGTTAGTGGTTAGAGTGGTTGAGTTCCCATTAGTTGGCATCCTCTAATGAGATCAATTTTGTTATTTCACTCTTTTGCTCCTATTTCACTCTTTTGCACGCAGACAATTATTATTTCCATTTATTTGAGTGGCAATATTTCTCAACCTTCATTACCTCTGTTGGCAATAGTTTTTTTTTCATGGTTGAATATCACACTTAATGTCGACAAAAAAATAACTTTGTTTGGGATGTTCTCGACATTGTATGAGTTTTGGTTTGATGGAAAGATGGTGAAGAGCTTAACACACACAAACACGAGTTCTGGGAGTGTGCTTTGATAGACAAACTTTGGTAGCAATGTTGATTTCTAGAGAATGATTTGTTTGATTGCCTGAATAATTTTTGCTTAATTTGTGTAAAATGATTTTCACCTGGGACGGGTAGCAATACTTTTTCTTCACATAAATTGCAAGGGACTAGCAATACGCTAGTTGGGGCTGTGATAGAGTGCATAAGATTGCATTTTAAATGCTGATTGCTTATGACTATTTGCTAATAAATAAGTATATTTGAGATTAATAATGATATTTTTTATAGTTGAATGATGGCCATTCCTAATTGTGGTGTTTACAATTTTAATGTAGAAATGAAGCCCAAAAATAATAATGCTCAAGGCCCATAAGAGAGGACTCAAATGAAGTTGGCTTGACCCAGCCCAATCAAAAGAAAATAGATTGGAATGATTAATGAAGGGAGCAAATCAGTGGAAGAAGTCTCTCGAATGTGAAGAAATCCCGAATTGGAAGCTATCTGGACTGTCTTTAGTATTTTCACCATATCTCCCTCATCCGACGTCGTATTGAGCTGATTAAAGAGGCCCTGCAAAGATAATTTAATCTCCTATAATTTCTCTTCAAATAGGGATTTTTGAATTTCCCACGTTTTCCAAGTGAAAAATGGACCGAAATCAAAGGCTGAAAATATGCCGAATTGATGAGGCGAATTCGGGATTGATTTATTCTTTCCTTGTGAAGATGGCTAGAAAGAGAGCAAGGATCAGGAGTTTATGGAGGAGGAAAAGGGAGATTTAGACAGAGGAGCTTGGAAAGCAAGGAGGATCGATTCTTTCTCTTCTGTTTGGCTTTCAAGAGGAGGAAGCTACACCAAGCAAACTGCAGACCATATTTACTGAGTTTTTTTCTTCTTCCAATCTCTTTCAGCTTCTTGATGTTTATGTTAAACTCTTTTATTCAGTTTTTCTTCAATTTTAGCAAGAACTAATTTCTATTTTCTAGAGTTTGTGATGTAGCCTAATTATGATTATGTGAATCCTTCTTTACTTGAATTAATTGGTATTTGCTCAATGGTTGAGTATCTCATTCTGGACTTAATACTTGTGTATGACTGATCACCATTTACATGAGTTGGGACTCACTTTGAGACAGA